CCTTTTACCTGTCAACAGTGTGGAAAAAGTTTCAACCGAAAAGGAAACCTTAAGTACCACATGAGAATTCACACTGGAGAAAACCCTTTTACCAGCCAACAGTGTGGAGTAAGTTTCACTCAAAAAGGGATTCTCAATCGGGACATGAAAATTCACACTGGGGAGAAGCCTTACTCATGCCCTCAGTGTGGAAAGTGTTTCGATCAGCATGGAAACCTTAAAGTCCACATGAGAAGTCACACTGGAGAGAAACTCTACAAGTGCCTGCAGTGTGGAAAAAGTTTTGATCAACATGGAAACTTTAAAATCCACATGAAAATTCATACAGGAGAAAGCCTTTTTACCTGTCAGCAGTGTGGAGTAAGTTTCAGAAAGAAATGGATTCTCAAAAGGCACATGAGAATTCACACTGGAGAGAAGCTTTACACATGCCATGAGTGTGGAAAGAGTTTCGATCAAAATGAAAACTTTAAAATCCACATGAGAATTCACATAGGAGAAAACCCTCTCGCCTGCCAACAGTGTGGAGTAAGTTTCAGAAAGAAATGGATTCTCATCAGACATATGAGAATTCACACTGGAGAGAAGCCTTACACATGCCTTCAGTGTGGAAAGAGTTTTAATCAACATGGAAATCTTAAACTCCACATGAGTATTCATACAGGAGAAAGGCCTTTTACCTGTCAACAGTGTGGAAAAAGTTTCAAACGAAAAGGAAACCTTAAGTACCACATGAGAATTCACACTGGAGAAAACCCTTTTACCAGCCAACAGTGTGGAGTAAGTTTCACTCAAAAAGGGATTCTCAATCGGGACATGAAAATTCACACTGGGGAGAAGCCTTACTCATGCCCTCAGTGTGGAAAGGGTTTTCATCAACATAGAAACCTTAAACTCCACATGAAAGTTCATACAGTAGAAAGGCCTTTTACCTGCCAACAGTGTGGAAAATGTTTCAAACGAAAAGGAAACCTTAATTATCACATGACCGTGCACACTGGAGAAAGCCATTTCACCTGCCAGCACTGTGGATTAAGTTTCACTCAGATAGGAAGCCTTAACAGGCACATGAGAAATCACACTGGAGAGAAACCTTACTCATGCTCTCAGTGTGGAAAAAGTTTTGATCAACATGGAAACTTTAAAATCCACATGAAAATTCATACAGGAGAAAACCCTTTTACCTGTCAACAGTGTGGAAAAAGTTTCAACCGAAAAGGAAACCTTAAGTACCACATGAGAATTCACACTAGGGAAAAGACTTACACATGCCATCAGTGTGGAAAGAGTTTCGATCAAAATGAAAAGCTTAAAGTACACATGAGAATTCACACTGGAGAAAGACCTTTCCCCTGCAAACAGTGTGGAAAACGTTTCAAACGAAAAGGAAACCTTAATTACCACATGAGCGTACACACTGGAGTAAACTCATCTACCACCAGTGTGGAGTAAGTTTCAGAAAGAAATGGATTCTCAATAGGCACATAAGAATTCACACTGGAGAGAAGCCTTTCACTTGCCCCCAGTGTGGGATGAGTTTCAACCTTAAAGGAAACGTTAGCATTCACATGAGACTTCACACTAAAGAAAGTATTCCACGTGTCTTTAGTGTGAAGAGTTTTATCAAAGAGCCCTGAAATGTGGAGTGCTGCTCAGTGTGGCAAAAGGTTTACGAAAAATTAGCAATTTCAGTTATCAGTTGTGCATTCATTCTAGAGGAAAACTATGCAAGATGTGCAAATGTGAGACCCTATTTGTGTTATTTGTGATGTCATTACTCATGAAAATACACATTGTTAGTTATATTTAAAAATGTGTTTTCAGTAGTTGTTACACCCCAAGTTTGGGACCAGTTTAAGACTTGCAAAAATAAAAAATGTTGCAATGGCCAGGGGGAAGAGATAAACAAGAATGAATATGAACTTATTTTTATATCCCAGGGCATAATATTATTTGTTGTTGTTTTATACTTTGCCATTCTATGGATATACAGTTGCAAACAGAAATATTCAACCCCTCACCTCAAAAGACATTATGGTGATATCGATGAACAATCATGATGATAAATGACAAAAAACCTCATTAAACAATACAAAATATTTATTGATGCATATTTGAGTTAATTTGACAACAGAAGTTGACTTAACTTTGAAATTCAAATGAAAAATTTAACATTTTTAACAAGTGCATGTGCAGTATTATTCAACCCCCAGCTTCAGTACTTTGTGGAGCATCCTTTAGCTTTTATAACTTCTAACAAATGTTTTTGGTAAGTGCTGACAAGCTTCTTACACCTCTCTATCAGAATCTTTGCCCATTCTTTGCCCAGATTTTCAGATTTAAATCTGGTCACTGAGAAGGCCACTCCAGGACGTTCCAGGATCTTTTTCTCAACCAAGCTTTGGTTGACTTGGAGGTGTGCTTGGGATCACTGTCTTGCTAGAAAGTCCAATGATCACCAAGGTTTAATTTGTCAATAAAAGGCATCATGTTCCTCTTTAAAATGGCCTGGTATTTCTGGGAATCCATGATGCCAGGTACACGATCAAGATTGCCAGTTCCTGCTGCAAGAACAGCCCCACATCATCAATGAGCCACCTCCATGCTTGACCGTGGGGATGGTATTTTTCTGGTCATAAGCCTGGCCAAACATGCCAGAAATACCGTTGGTCCAAATGTCCAAACCGTTCCAGTTTGGTTTCATCAGTCGATAGAACTGTCTCCCAAAACTCTGAAGTCTTATCCAAATTCCTCCTGGCATATTCTAGTCAACTTTTGATGTTCCTTGTGGTCAAGAGTGGAGTGCGTCTTGAGTCCAGCCATGAAGTCCTTGTTTGTTCAGTGCATGTCTTATAGTTGCTCTTGAAGGACTTGTACCAGCCTTCATTAGGTCATCCTGTAGGTGTCTTGCAGTCACACAGAGGTTTTTCTTAGTTGTCCTGACTAAGTTGGTACAGGCCCTTGATGAAATTCTGGGCTTTCTTCCATGGCCAGGCATGTTTGCAGCTGTTCCATAAGTTTTAAACGTCCTTATAATGCTCCCAATTGTGTCTTGGAATGTAATTTAGTTTTTTTATACCTATGGCCCTACAGGTGTGATGAAATAATCTCTTCTCTCAGCTTTTGTGGAAGCTCCTTTGTCTTTCCCATGATTGCAACTCACCTTGGATACCTTCATGGGTGGGGTTTATATATGCAGCACAGCTGAAGCAAGTCAAGGATGATTATAGAGCTCCCAAAGGCTTAATTATGTTGCAACTCCACTTTATGCCATAAAAAATTGTCAGAAAGCTTTACAAACAACAATATTATATAGTGGTTGAATAATTTTGACATTGCTATCTTAACAAAATATCCTGTTACACACAAATACTACATCATGCATTTTCTGTGTTGACTTTGTCACTCAACTCATAAAGAAGTCATCCAACACAGAATCTTGTTCTTTGAAAAAACTTAAATTGATAAATCCTTAATCTTTGGGGGGTTGAATATTTCTGATTGCAACTGTACACATTGTTGTGCATATACTGTGCGTGTATACCCATTATTTTATATTGAGAATTGTAAATACATACCACAATTTTGCTTGGAACTTTTGTGTAAGCTTGTCTTCTTTCCTTTTTTACTTTTCTCATAATTTGTTATTATTCACCAACCCTAAACTGGAAAAAGGATGTAACAATTGGGGGCTTGTCTATTAACAACAATTGGAAACTTATCCTACATTTTGATAACTAGGGGTGGGCTTACCAAGTTTTTGTTATTCAGAGGTAAGTGTGTTTGCTTGCTTGGAGGTTATGTTGGTGAGATATGGATTTGGATTTAGTAATGTTTAAAGTATGTCCTACATTAGTAGAGTTTAATTGTTGAAAAAATACTTGATAATTGCTTGACTTAAAACTAAAGAATAACATGAGACACAACCTCGAAGCTAAAATCCTCTGTAGAATGCCAGTTCTTACTCCTAAGTCCAGACCACCTTTAGCTAGTGTTGGGGAGACGGTGAAGTCTGACGTTGACAAGTATGTAAGGTTAGTGCAGTGATCCTCAAATCTGGCTCGCGAGATCCACTTTCCGGCAGAGTTTAGCTCCAACCCTAAACAAACAAACCTACCTGTGATTTTCTAATGATCCTGAAGGCATTGATTAGCAAACTCAGGTGTGTTTGATTAGGGTTAGAGCTAAACTCTGCAGGAAAGTGGATCTTGTGAGACAGATTTGAGAATCACTGCATTAGTGCATCATTTTCATTTAAAACGCATTGTGTATTTTATCACATTTGAAAGTGTAGATACTAAGCCAGTGGTGTCCAAACTTGGTGATGGAGGGCCACTGTCCTGCAGAGTTTAGCTCCAACCTGCCCCAACACACCTGTCTTAAAGTTTCTAATATGCCTAGTAAGACCTTGATTAGCTGCTTCAGGTGTGTTTAATTGGGGTTGGAGTCAGGGGCGTTGCTAGACATAAAGCTCTACTGGAGCACAGGCCCCCCCATTACTCATATCACTTTTCTTTCTTGAAAGTCAGTTGCGTGATGTGTACAATGAACCATGTAATCCACTATTCCTACGCTGCAAAAAGCACTAGGGAAAGTAAATGTATACATTAACGCTTTATGAATATATTTATTTAAGTGACTTCATATTTCACAAACATTCTTAACATGTTTTAAGGCAATCAGTGTATATGGAAATAAAACTGGAGAGAACTTGCACATTGTTTTTCTTGCACATTTGCATTCTACATTACACAATAATAATAATGAATAATCTTTTTTTAAATTTGATTTAGAATTACAAAATTTCAAGAAACCAGTCATTTTATGTGAATGAATGAATGAATGATGCATTTGCTTTCTTGTGTATTGCTATACACCCAAAGCGCTTTACAATCATGGGGGGGGGGTCTCTCCTCAACCACCACCAGTGTGCAGCATCCACTTGGATGATGCGACGGCAGCCACAGGACAACGGCGCCAGTGCGCTCACCACACACCAGCTACAGGTGGAGAGGAGAGAGAGAGAGATAGAGCAAATCAAGTGGATGGGGATTATTAGGAGGGCATGATTGACAAGGGCCAGTGGAGGGAATTTGGCCAGGACACCGGGGTTTCACCCCTACTTTTTACGATGAGTGCCAAGGGATTTTTTAATGACTACAGAGAGTCAGGACCTCGGTTTAACGTCTCATCCGAAGGACGGTGCTTGTTGTCAGTATAGTGTCCCCGTCACTACACTGGGGTGTTAGGACCCACACAGACTGCAGGGTGCGCGCCCCCTGCTGGCCTCACTAACACCTCTTCCAACAGCAACCTAGTTTTCCCAGGAGGTCTCCCATACAGGTACTAACCAGGCTCAACCCTGCTTAGCTTCAGTGGGCAACCAGTTTTGGGCTGCGGGGTGATATGGCTATGGGTTGTGGTATGTGTGGTGATTCGGTATTTTAGTGCTAAAAAAAGAACACTTGTGTCCACATTTCTTGGGCTGGTTGAATTGCAGGTGGGTGATGCAAAATCAATAGCAAAGGCAATAGTTGAGTTTCTCGAAAAGTGTAACCTTAAAAAAGAGAATCTTCAGGGTATTGGCACCGATAATGCCTCTGTGATGACTGGGGTGCAGAAGATTTTAAAAGAAGAATGTGCTTTGCCCAATTTGGTACTCATGCGCTGTGTATGGCATTCTTTACAACTGGCTGTCAGTGCAGCATCCAAAGAAACCATCCCTAGATGTGTTGAATACTTAATCAGGGAAACCTACAACTGGTTTTCGATTTCCCCAAAACGACGAGAGGCATACAAAACAGTGTATGCCACCATTAATTGTGGTCAAAAACCCCTGCAAATCACCAAAGTGTGTGCCACACGTTGGCTATAGATTGAGCCTGCGGTAACTCGTATATTGGACCAGTGGGAAGAACTGAAACTCCACTTTGAGTTGACCAAGACCAGTGAGCATTGCTACATGGCAGATGTGCTCCATGCCATGTACATGGACAAGACCAACTATGTCTACCTTACATTCTTAAAATCAAGCCTGTCCGAAGGTACAAGTTGCAGTGAAGTCATTTGAGGGTGAACATACAGATCCTGTCAAGCTTTTGGACAATCTGGTTCCCCTCTTATCATCAGTTTGCAGCAGAGTAGTCAATCCTATGGCAAAGATTGATGTCCTGAAGGATGCCATTGATGGTCATCTCAGTCCAGCACCATATCTTGGGTACCTTTTTGAAATGTCCCAACTCAGTCTTGCTCCAGAGGACGAAAAGGTCATTCGGAGACGATGCATCAACTATGTTGTTGCTCTAAGCAAGGAGCTGCAAGCAAGGCTCCCAGACTATCTTGAAATCTTACGAAACATGTCTCTGTTCAGTGTTAAGGAAACAATGAAGCACAATAAAAGCAACACTGAAATGATAAATGTAGCTGAGCTACTGGGGTACCAGCCCCAGACAATTGACAAAATTGTTTCCCAATGGAGAAACATACATTTGTTGAGGTGGGAATCAACTGAAAATAGTTTTGGAGCGAAGTTTATAACTACACAGACGCTTCTGGGTCAAAACCATTCGAAGAACTGTGCAAAGCTGCACCGACTGTCCTCTCCTTGCCACACTCAAATGCAGAGGTTGAACGGCTGTTCAGCCAAATGAGTGTGGTCAAGTCAAAGTTAAGAAATAGACTGTCACTGCACGCTCTTAACTCCATACTCCTTGTGCGGTATGGACTGAAGCTGGCTGGTGATAATTGTTACCAGCATAAACTACTCAGTGACTTTCTACAACAGTTTGGCACCACTGCAACATACAGTTTTAAAGCCATTCCATCCTCTTCTGCTGATACCAGCTCATTGACAGAGCACCTGGACAGTGAAGATGAAGATGATTTGCTTGCTAATCTATGAATCATCAAAGAATGGAGTTTCTGTAACTAGTGGAATCAATGGCAGTGTACACTGCATTGTGAATGAAAAAAGTGCCAGAGAAAACACTGAACAGCTAACCAGACAAGAAGAACCACCATCCTAAGTGATGCCTAGCAACAGACACATTATATCACATTCAAGTTAAAATGCTAGCTACAATTGTTTGATATAATTGTTCATTTACTGATACCTTGTTATTAACATGTACAATTGTTGTTCATTTAGGTAGCATATTAACTACCAATACAGTGGTTTAATTGTTGTTTAATTGTTGTTAATTGTTAATTTCAACAAAGTAAAAAAGAAAATAGCCTACATAAACTGTGATTGTTCAAAAGAATGTAACTGTTCAATATCAGTGTTATATTTAAAAATAAAAATATCTGATCAAAAAGGTCTTGTGTTTGTATTACTTTTACAAATAGCCCACTACACGTATATTACTTTTTTCAAACAAATCTAAATTAACATTTTAAATAATGTTTTTGCTGAGGTGGCCAGTCAATTTGAGAAAACTCATTGTGTTTTCTGTATATTACATAAAGATGCAGTTTTGCGTTGCGATTACGTAATGACGTCATCACGCCGTGACGTCACAGCGTCACTTAGCAACTTTTAGCAACAAATCGTTCCACCTGTGTCACGAATTTGGTCCATGGACTTCCGTTTATTCTCGCACAACTCAAACTGTTGCATAGCACCGCAGACTACATATCCCATCATTCCTTGCACGATTTGCACACTGCACTGATTTGCACTCATTGCACACAGCTGTTTCTAATCACCTCACTCACTATATAACACCCACTCTAACCACCTTTCTCTGCTGAGTATTGTTTAGCCTGTACCCCTTTCCGAGTCTCCGTGTTTTCCTTGTTTTGCCTTGCCTGTTTATTATCACATGACCGTGCACACTGGAGAAAGCCATTTCACCTGCCAGCACTGTGGATTAAGTTTCACTCAGATAGGAAGCCTTAACAGGCACATGAGAAATCACACTGGAGAGAAACCTTACTCATGCTCTCAGTGTGGAAAGTGTTTCGATCAGCATGGAAATCTTAAAGTCCACATGAGAAGTCACACTGGAGAGAAACTCTACAAGTGCCTGCAGTGTGGAAAAAGTTTTGATCAACATGGAAACTTTAAAATCCACATGAAAATTCATACAGGAGAAAGCCTTTTTACCTGTCAGCAGTGTGGAGTAAGTTTCAGAAAGAAATGGATTCTCAAAAGGCACATGAGAATTCACACTGGAGAGAAGCTTTACACATGCCATCAGTGTGGAAAGAGTTTCGATCAAAATGAAAACTTTAAAATCCACATGAGAATTCACATAGGAGAAAACCCTCTCGCCTGCCAACAGTGTGGAGTAAGTTTCAGAAAGAAATGGATTCTCATCAGACATATGAGAATTCACACTGGAGAGAAGCCTTACACATGCCTTCAGTGTGGAAAGAGTTTTAATCAACATGGAAATCTTAAACTCCACATGAGTATTCATACAGGAGAAAGGCCTTTTACCTGTCAACAGTGTGGAAAAAGTTTCAAACGAAAAGGAAACCTTAAGTACCACATGAGAATTCACACTGGAGAAAACCCTTTTACCAGCCAACAGTGTGGAGTAAGTTTCACTCAAAAAGGGATTCTCAATCGGGACATGAAAATTCACACTGGGGAGAAGCCTTACTCATGCCCTCAGTGTGGAAAGGGTTTTCATCAACATAGAAACCTTAAACTCCACATGAAAGTTCATACAGGAGAAAGGCCTTTTACCTGCCAACAGTGTGGAAAATGTTTCAAACGAAAAGGAAACCTTAATTATCACATGACCGTGCACACTGGAGAAAGCCATTTCACCTGCCAGCACTGTGGATTAAGTTTCACTCAGATAGGAAGCCTTAACAGGCACATGAGAAATCACACTGGAGAGAAACCTTACTCATGCTCTCAGTGTGGAAAGTGTTTCGATCAGCATGGAAATCTTAAAGTCCACATGAGAAGTCACACTGGAGAGAAACTCTACAAGTGCCTGCAGTGTGGAAAAAGTTTTGATCAACATGGAAACTTTAAAATCCACATGAAAATTCATACAGGAGAAAGCCTTTTTACCTGTCAGCAGTGTGGAGTAAGTTTCAGAAAGAAATGGATTCTCAAAAGGCACATGAGAATTCACACTGGAGAGAAGCTTTACACATGCCATCAGTGTGGAAAGAGTTTCGATCAAAATGAAAACTTTAAAATCCACATGAGAATTCACATAGGAGAAAACCCTCTCGCCTGCCAACAGTGTGGAGTAAGTTTCAGAAAGAAATGGATTCTCATCAGACATATGAGAATTCACACTGGAGAGAAGCCTTACACATGCCTTCAGTGTGGAAAGAGTTTTAATCAACATGGAAATCTTAAACTCCACATGAGTATTCATACAGGAGAAAGGCCTTTTACCTGTCAACAGTGTGGAAAAAGTTTCAAACGAAAAGGAAACCTTAAGTACCACATGAGAATTCACACTGGAGAAAACCCTTTTACCAGCCAACAGTGTGGAGTAAGTTTCACTCAAAAAGGGATTCTCAATCGGGACATGAAAATTCACACTGGGGAGAAGCCTTACTCATGCCCTCAGTGTGGAAAGGGTTTTCATCAACATAGAAACCTTAAACTCCACATGAAAGTTCATACAGGAGAAAGGCCTTTTACCTGCCAACAGTGTGGAAAATGTTTCAAACGAAAAGGAAACCTTAATTATCACATGACCGTGCACACTGGAGAAAGCCATTTCACCTGCCAGCACTGTGGATTAAGTTTCACTCAGATAGGAAGCCTTAACAGGCACATGAGAAATCACACTGGAGAGAAACCTTACTCATGCTCTCAGTGTGGAAAGTGTTTCGATCAGCATGGAAATCTTAAAGTCCACATGAGAAGTCACACTGGAGAGAAACTCTACAAGTGCCTGCAGTGTGGAAAAAGTTTTGATCAACATGGAAACTTTAAAATCCACATGAAAATTCATACAGGAGAAAGCCTTTTTACCTGTCAGCAGTGTGGAGTAAGTTTCAGAAAGAAATGGATTCTCAAAAGGCACATGAGAATTCACACTGGAGAGAAGCTTTACACATGCCATCAGTGTGGAAAGAGTTTCGATCAAAATGAAAACTTTAAAATCCACATGAGAATTCACATAGGAGAAAACCCTCTCGCCTGCCAACAGTGTGGAGTAAGTTTCAGAAAGAAATGGATTCTCATCAGACATATGAGAATTCACACTGGAGAGAAGCCTTACACATGCCTTCAGTGTGGAAAGAGTTTTAATCAACATGGAAATCTTAAACTCCACATGAGTATTCATACAGGAGAAAGGCCTTTTACCTGTCAACAGTGTGGAAAAAGTTTCAAACGAAAAGGAAACCTTAAGTACCACATGAGAATTCACACTGGAGAAAACCCTTTTACCAGCCAACAGTGTGGAGTAAGTTTCACTCAAAAAGGGATTCTCAATCGGGACATGAAAATTCACACTGGGGAGAAGCCTTACTCATGCCCTCAGTGTGGAAAGGGTTTTCATCAACATAGAAACCTTAAACTCCACATGAAAGTTCATACAGGAGAAAGGCCTTTTACCTGCCAACAGTGTGGAAAATGTTTCAAACGAAAAGGAAACCTTAATTATCACATGACCGTGCACACTGGAGAAAGCCATTTCACCTGCCAGCACTGTGGATTAAGTTTCACTCAGATAGGAAGCCTTAACAGGCACATGAGAAATCACACTGGAGAGAAACCTTACTCATGCTCTCAGTGTGGAAAGTGTTTCGATCAGCATGGAAATCTTAAAGTCCACATTAGAATTCACACTGGAGAGAAACCTTACTCATGCTCTCAGTGTGGAAAAAGTTTTGATCAACATGGAAACTTTAAAATCCACATGAAAATTCATACAGGAGAAAACCCTTTTACCTGTCAACAGTGTGGAAAAAGTTTCAACCGAAAAGGAAACCTTAAGTACCACATGAGAATTCACACTAGGGAAAAGACTTACACATGCCATCAGTGTGGAAAGAGTTTCGATCAAAATGAAAAGCTTAAAGTACACATGAGAATTCACACTGGAGAAAGACCTTTCCCCTGCAAACAGTGTGGAAAACGTTTCAAACGAAAAGGAAACCTTAATTACCACATGAGCGTACACACTGGAGTAAACTCATCTACCACCAGTGTGGAGTAAGTTTCAGAAAGAAATGGATTCTCAATAGGCACATAAGAATTCACACTGGAGAGAAGCCTTTCACTTGCCCCCAGTGTGGGATGAGTTTCAACCTTAAAGGAAACGTTAGCATTCACATGAGACTTCACACTAAAGAAAGTATTCCACGTGTCTTTAGTGTGAAGAGTTTTATCAAAGAGCCCTGAAATGTGGAGTGCTGCTCAGTGTGGCAAAAGGTTTACGAAAAATTAGCAATTTCAGTTATCAGTTGTGCATTCATTCTAGAGGAAAACTATGCAAGATGTGCAAATGTGAGACCCTATTTGTGTTATTTGTGATGTCATTACTCATGAAAATACACATTGTTAGTTATATTTAAAAATGTGTTTTCAGTAGTTGTTACACCCCAAGTTTGGGACCAGTTTAAGACTTGCAAAAATAAAAAATGTTGCAATGGCCAGGGGGAAGAGATAAACAAGAATGAATATGAACTTATTTTTATATCCCAGGGCATAATATTATTTGTTGTTGTTTTATACTTTGCCATTCTATGGATATACAGTTGCAAACAGAAATATTCAACCCCTCACCTCAAAAGACATTATGGTGATATCGATGAACAATCATGATGATAAATGACAAAAAACCTCATTAAACAATACAAAATATTTATTGATGCATATTTGAGTTAATTTGACAACAGAAGTTGACTTAACTTTGAAATTCAAATGAAAAATTTAACATTTTTAACAAGTGCATGTGCAGTATTATTCAACCCCCAGCTTCAGTACTTTGTGGAGCATCCTTTAGCTTTTATAACTTCTAACAAATGTTTTTGGTAAGTGCTGACAAGCTTCTTACACCTCTCTATCAGAATCTTTGCCCATTCTTTGCCCAGATTTTCAGATTTAAATCTGGTCACTGAGAAGGCCACTCCAGGACGTTCCAGGATCTTTTTCTCAACCAAGCTTTGGTTGACTTGGAGGTGTGCTTGGGATCACTGTCTTGCTAGAAAGTCCAATGATCACCAAGGTTTAATTTGTCAATAAAAGGCATCATGTTCCTCTTTAAAATGGCCTGGTATTTCTGGGAATCCATGATGCCAGGTACACGATCAAGATTGCCAGTTCCTGCTGCAAGAACAGCCCCACATCATCAATGAGCCACCTCCATGCTTGACCGTGGGGATGGTATTTTTCTGGTCATAAGCCTGGCCAAACATGCCAGAAATACCGTTGGTCCAAATGTCCAAACCGTTCCAGTTTGGTTTCATCAGTCGATAGAACTGTCTCCCAAAACTCTGAAGTCTTATCCAAATTCCTCCTGGCATATTCTAGTCAACTTTTGATGTTCCTTGTGGTCAAGAGTGGAGTGCGTCTTGAGTCCAGCCATGAAGTCCTTGTTTGTTCAGTGCATGTCTTATAGTTGCTCTTGAAGGACTTGTACCAGCCTTCATTAGGTCATCCTGTAGGTGTCTTGCAGTCACACAGAGGTTTTTCTTAGTTGTCCTGACTAAGTTGGTACAGGCCCTTGATGAAATTCTGGGCTTTCTTCCATGGCCAGGCATGTTTGCAGCTGTTCCATAAGTTTTAAACGTCCTTATAATGCTCCCAATTGTGTCTTGGAATGTAATTTAGTTTTTTTATACCTATGGCCCTACAGGTGTGATGAAATAATCTCTTCTCTCAGCTTTTGTGGAAGCTCCTTTGTCTTTCCCATGATTGCAACTCACCTTGGATACCTTCATGGGTGGGGTTTATATATGCAGCACAGCTGAAGCAAGTCAAGGATGATTATAGAGCTCCCAAAGGCTTAATTATGTTGCAACTCCACTTTATGCCATAAAAAATTGTCAGAAAGCTTTACAAACAACAATATTATATAGTGGTTGAATAATTTTGACATTGCTATCTTAACAAAATATCCTGTTACACACAAATACTACATCATGCATTTTCTGTGTTGACTTTGTCACTCAACTCATAAAGAAGTCATCCAACACAGAATCTTGTTCTTTGAAAAAACTTAAATTGATAAATCCTTAATCTTTGGGGGGTTGAATATTTCTGATTGCAACTGTACACATTGTTGTGCATATACTGTGCGTGTATACCCATTATTTTATATTGAGAATTGTAAATACATACCACAATTTTGCTTGGAACTTTTGTGTAAGCTTGTCTTCTTTCCTTTTTTACTTTTCTCATAATTTGTTATTATTCACCAACCCTAAACTGGAAAAAGGATGTAACAATTGGGGGCTTGTCTATTAACAACAATTGGAAACTTATCCTACATTTTGATAACTAGGGGTGGGCTTACCAAGTTTTTGTTATTCAGAGGTAAGTGTGTTTGCTTGCTTGGAGGTTATGTTGGTGAGATATGGATTTGGATTTAGTAATGTTTAAAGTATGTCCTACATTAGTAGAGTTTAATTGTTGAAAAAATACTTGATAATTGCTTGACTTAAAACTAAAGAATAACATGAGACACAACCTCGAAGCTAAAATCCTCTGTAGAATGCCAGTTCTTACTCCTAAGTCCAGACCACCTTTAGCTAGTGTTGGGGAGACGGTGAAGTCTGACGTTGACAAGTATGTAAGGTTAGTGCAGTGATCCTCAAATCTGGCTCGCGAGATCCACTTTCCGGCAGAGTTTAGCTCCAACCCTAAACAAACAAACCTACCTGTGATTTTCTAATGATCCTGAAGGCATTGATTAGCAAACTCAGGTGTGTTTGATTAGGGTTAGAGCTAAACTCTGCAGGAAAGTGGATCTTGTGAGACAGATTTGAGAATCACTGCATTAGTGCATCATTTTCATTTAAAACGCATTGTGTATTTTATCACATTTGAAAGTGTAGATACTAAGCCAGTGGTGTCCAAACTTGGTGATGGAGGGCCACTGTCCTGCAGAGTTTAGCTCCAACCTGCCCCAACACACCTGTCTTAAAGTTTCTAATATGCCTAGTAAGACCTTGATTAGCTGCTTCAGGTGTGTTTAATTGGGGTTGGAGTCAGGGGCGTTGCTAGACATAAAGCTCTACTGGAGCACAGGCCCCCCCATTACTCATATCACTTTTCTTTCTTGAAAGTCAGTTGCGTGATGTGTACAATGAACCATGTAATCCACTATTCCTACGCTGCAAAAAGCACTAGGGAAAGTAAATGTATACATTAACGCTTTATGAATATATTTATTTAAGTGACTTCATATTTCACAAACATTCTTAACATGTTTTAAGGCAATCAGTGTATATGGAAATAAAACTGGAGAGAACTTGCACATTGTTTTTCTTGCACATTTGCATTCTACATTACACAATAATAATAATGAATAATCTTTTTTTAAATTTGATTTAGAATTACAAAATTTCAAGAAACCAGTCATTTTATGTGAATGAATGAATGAATGATGCATTTGCTTTCTTGTGTATTGCTATACACCCAAAGCGCTTTACAATCATGGGGGGGGGGTCTCTCCTCAACCACCACCAGTGTGCAGCATCCACTTGGATGATGCGACGGCAGCCACAGGACAACGGCGCCAGTGCGCTCACCACACACCAGCTACAGGTGGAGAGGAGAGAGAGAGAGATAGAGCAAATCAAGTGGATGGGGATTATTAGGAGGGCATGATTGACAAGGGCCAGTGGAGGGAATTTGGCCAGGACACCGGGGTTTCACCCCTACTTTTTACGATGAGTGCCAAGGGATTTTTTAATGACTACAGAGAGTCAGGACCTCGGTTTAACGTCTCATCCGAAGGACGGTGCTTGTTGTCAGTATAGTGTCCCCGTCACTACACTGGGGTGTTAGGACCCACACAGACTGCAGGGTGCGCACCCCTGCTGGCCTCACTAACACATCTTCCAACAGCAACCTAGTTTTCCCAGGAGGACTCCCATACAGGTACTAACCAGGCTCAACCCTGCTTAGCTTCAGTGGGCAACCAGTTTTGGGCTGCGGGGTGATATGGCTATGGGTTGTGGTATGTGTGGTGATTCGGTATTTTAGTGCTAAAAAAAGAACACTTGTGTCCACATTTCTTGGGCTGGTTGAATTGCAGGTGGGTGATGCAAAATCAATAGCAAAGGCAATAGTTGAGTTTCTCGAAAAGTGTAACCTTAAAAAAGAGAATCTTCAGGGTATTGGCACCGATAATGCCTCTGTGATGACTGGGGTGCAGAAGATTTTAAAAGAAGAATGTGCTTTGCCCAATTTGGTACTCATGCGCTGTGTATGGCATTCTTTACAACTGGCTGTCAGTGCAGCATCCAAAGAAACCATCCCTAGATGTGTTGAATACTTAATCAGGGAAACCTACAACTGGTTTTCGATTTCCCCAAAACGACGAGAGGCATACAAAACAGTGTATGCCACCATTAATTGTGGTCAAAAACCCCTGCAAATCACCAAAGTGTGTGCCACACGTTGGCTATAGATTGAGCCTGCGGTAACTCGTATATTGGACCAGTGGGAAGAACTGAAACTCCACTTTGAGTTGACCAAGACCAGTGAGCATTGCTACATGGCAGATGTGCTCCATGCCATGTACATGGACAAGACCAACTATGTCTACCTTACATTCTTAAAATCAAGCCTGTCCGAAGGTACAAGTTGCAGTGAAGTCATTTGAGGGTGAACATACAGATCCTGTCAAGCTTTTGGACAATCTGGTTCACCTCTTATCATCAGATTGCAGCAGAGTAGTCAATCCTATGGCAAAGATTGATGTCCTGAAGGATGCCATTGATGGTCATCTCAGTCCAGCACCATATCTTGGGTACCTTTTTGAAATGTCCCAACTCAGTCTTGCTCCAGAGGACGAAAAGGTCATTCGGAGACGATGCATCAACTATGTTGTTGCTCTAAGCAAGGAGCTGCAAGCAAGGCTCCCAGACTATCTTGAAATCTTACGAAACATGTCTCTGTTCAGTGTTAAGGAAACAATGAAGCACAATAAAAGCAACACTGAAATGATAAATGTAGCTGAGCTACTGGGGTACCAGCCCCAGACAATTGACAAAATTGTTTCCCAATGGAGAAACATACATTTGTTGAGGTGGGAATCAACTGAAAATAGTTTTGGAGCGAAGTTTATAACTACACAGACGCTTCTGGGTCAAAACCATTCGAAGAACTGTGCAAAGCTGCACCGACTGTCCTCTCCTTGCCACACTCAAATGCAGAGGTTGAACGGCTGTTCAGCCAAATGAGTGTGGTCAAGTCAAAGTTAAGAAATAGACTGTCACTGCACGCTCTTAACTCCATACTCCTTGTGCGGTATGGGCTGAAGCTGGCTGGTGATAATTGTTACCAGCATAAACTACCCAGTGACGTTCTACAACAGTTTGGCACCACTGCAGCATACAGTTTTAAAGCCATTCCATCCTCTTCTGCTGATACCAGCTTATTGACAGAGCACCTGGACAGTGAAGATGAAGATGATTTGCTTGCTAATCTATGAATCATCAAAGAATGGAGTTTCTGTAACTAGTGGAATCAATGGCAGTGTACACTGCATTGTGAATGAAAAAAGTGCCAGAGAAAACACTGAACAGCTAACCAGACAAGAAGAACCACCATCCTAAGTGATGCCTAGCAACAGACACATTATATCACATTCAAGTTAAAATGCTAGCTACAATTGTTTGATATAATTGTTCATTTACTGATACCTTGTTATGTATAATTGTTGTTAACATGTATAATTGTTGTTCAGTTAGGTAGCATATTAACTAGCAATACAGTGCTTTAATTGTTTTTAATTGTTAATTTCACAAGTTAAAAAGAAAATAGACTACATAAACTGTGATTGTTCAAAAGAGTGTAACTGTTCAATATCAGTGTTCTATTTAAAAATAAAAATATCTGATCAAAAAGGTCTTGTGTTTGTATTACTTTTACAAATAGCCTACTACACATATATAACTTTTTTCAAACAACTCTAAATTAACAATTTTAAATAATGTTTTTGCTGAGGCGGCCAGTCAATTTGAGAAAACTCATTGTGTTTTATTACATAAAGATGCAGTTTTGCGTTCATCACGCCGTGACGTCACAGCGCCACTTAGCAACAAATCGTTCCGCCTTTAGCAACTTCCTCTGAAAATTAGTTGGCAACAGTGTTTACAAAGTTCTTCTCTCTCAACTGATAAGACGGCGAGATGGTGAAGCCTTTCTTGCCCCATTGTGTACCTCAGCCGAGTGTGGAGCCGTCTCAGCACACTGAATGACCGTTCACAATGACAACTATTGACTGAGATTGTCCGAGATATCTGCATAACCCGTGTCAAGGTTGGGAACATGACTTTATCTAGCAACTTGTAATCACACTGTATATTCTTAATAAAGGCTTTCCTTTTTGTGAGTTTTTAGCCACTGAAACCTCCTCCGATTTAATGATCTGCCAGACCTCGGAGGTCCTCCTCACAAAGAAAGCTATCAAATCTAGGATTACAGGCCTGAACACCTCTCAATATTTGGCCATTAAAGGGGTCCTATTATGCTCTTTTACAATGTCTTGATTATGTTTTGGGGGTGTACTAGAACATGCTCTCATGCTTGGTGGTTCGAAAAACGCATTATTTTTTACATAATTTACATTATTACAATACTTTTCCCCCCAGTCTGGCATAAACGGCTCGATTAGTTCCGGCTTTGATGAAGGCCCGCCTTCTGAAAAACTAAATGTGATGTGATTGGTTAGCTGTCCCAGTGCGTTGTGATTGGCGGACAGCTTAGACAGTGTTTCAGTACTGCCCCGCCCCTTGCCAAAGCAGCAGGTTTAGTTAAGGATGGCGTCAATATTGCCATATCAATCTGAGCCGGATTCAGACCCCGAGAATATTGAACAAGAGGAT